GAAACTTATTGGCATTATTCTAGCTATGTGAAAGTAATCATTAAAACCTATAAGCCACTATGAATTGGTCGAAGTCAATCATAAAATCTATAGGATTTATGAAGTTTTATTTAGAACCGTGTTAAACCCAAATCCCATAATATAAATGTTAGTATTTTTTTGGCCTTCAAACGACTCACGTTGAAATGGGCAAGAAAATAAATAGTGTGAAATTAAAAGAAATGGCAACTTCAAGAGAAAAAATGGAGAGAATTACTTAAGAATCAAAAATCGAGTCGTGAGAGCAACAGTAAATCAAAATTCTCAAGCCCAAGCAATTCCAAACACTGCGTCTTTCAACTCATACCACCTGAATCCACCAAATAGCAAGAATTCATTAGGACCTGATGTTCATGAAGTACCATCAACGAGTCAGAACGTAATGGAAAATACTTCTGATCATCTTGCTTCTGAATGAGAACTAGGGAGCGAGGAAGTTGACAACAGTTTTGCACAAATTATGTCAGATGGCGAGTAGAGCATGCATCTGGAAGAATGGACAACACAATATCAGGCGAATTGCACTGAGTGTAGTTTGTCTATGTTTCCTACTCGGTTTCCTACTTCAAACCAATCACAAAATTCTCAAAGTGAACACTGTAAACAGCAAGAGTAGGGTTATGTTGATCATGTTGATGACGTTCTTCTACACTTTGCAACACTGCCAATGAGCACTAGCCAGGATATTCTTAAAGCTTTATAGTTTTATGAAGGCATTATCTTATAACCTTCTCAAATCAATTTTATCATTTTCGAAGCTTTGTTGTCATACCCAGGAGCAAATAGTCATAAGAATGGATTTGAATATGCAATAAGTACTTCAACAGGAGGAAATCGTCACATAAAATGCCTTATCACTACCTAAAGGTTTTAATCGAGCATTAGAGAAAGAAAATTGGCTTTAAGTATATTTTGCGCCATATTTACTACGAATAGATGTCGGCCATTGATGGAAATGAAAATTTCAAGCGGAAAATAGAGAATGTTGTTTTTTCAGATTTTTCAAACGACTCACCCATATTCAGCAAACATTCACACAGTTCTGTCAACTTTTTTGGAAAGTTATTGAAATTCACATCCAATTCTAACTGGTGAAAATACATTATTTCTAGGGCGCTGCTTTTTTTGAAGCATATCTGGTATGTTTTCGTCAAAAGAGTCGTCATCGTTTTCATTTTACAGCCTCAATCTTCACAAAAAGGACTATTATTTGATACAGTAGGGAATTAACATATCATACCGCCATGTTTAGTCTCTTTCATAACTATCTATTGTTCTCTTTCCATTTTGACATGTTTGTATTATAATTTGTTCTAAAAAAAGGCTATCATAAAACACGCTACGGACTATATTATCTTAACAAATGCTTACTGCGACTGATAAGGTTTTAATTCTAGCCAATAAGTTTCAATGTTGGCATAAGAAGTGTCGTTTTAAAACCAATAGGTATGAACTCGTGCTAAAAGGCTTTGAAGGAAGTCGTTTTGATAGGTTTTATTGTTGCTTTGAGGCATACTACAATAAATTCCTATTAGTTTTATGACAAGCTCTAAGAGAAGCTGTGACAGCATTTATAAAGGTGGGCCCTTCATGTTTTGAGGAGGTTGTTTAATTGTTTTAATGATATCATTAAAGTATAATAGTTTTAAAGAGGCATTTTGAAATAGGCTGTAACAACCTCCTGTAGCTAACAATAAAACTGATAATGTTATTTGGGAGTCGAAAGCGCTCTGCTACGAATATAAATTTGAATAAATTATCTTGCACAAAATACAACACTTTCCTTCTTTGGTTAGCAAAGGTTAGGCAGCAGGCAAGCAGAAAAGCGGAAAGAAAAAATATGCAAGCAGGAGGATATATGTCGTTGACTCAATCAAGCAGGAAGAAACACAGGCAGGATATATGAGCAGTGCAATGAAGAAAATACCAAGTCCGGAAAGCGAGGACGAGTGCAGGTTTAGTGTAGAAATGAATCCTGTTGAGTTCAATTCAACCAAGAAAGGTGATTAGCTTTCTTCTTGTTGGCCTGGCTTATAACACAAGCACCCCCGAGAAGTAGCAGAATAAATGCTGAAGGCCTGGGGCGGGTCAATCAGGCCCGGTCTCTCTGAACAGACAAAAGAGTCCGCTACCTAACTCATCCGATTTATGACACTGGATTCAACTGAATTCATGATCATTTTCAGAACAGGATTCGTTTGATTAATTCTTACTCTAGTACTTCAAGTACTGGATCTTTACTGTATGTCAAACTCTCGTCAACTGTTAACTTTCTCGTGTCAATGAATTATGTCAATATTGTCAATGGAATTCAATTATGTGAATGATTGAACTGGTCCTTGATAGACTGGAAATATTGATTGATTTTCGATTTTAATAAATTGTTGAGAAAAATAGCAAGCAAATTCGAACTAAGTTCTAATTGAAGAATCTGAAACACGAATTTGAATCGAAATAATAATCAAAACTCAAGTTGATAATCAACTGAAAACTGAAATCGATGTACAAAGAAATATAGAAGTACTTACAGGACTGCTTAATACACAACCGGAAGATCACTTTTCAGAATTACAATACCGAACTGGACTCTGAAATCGCAGACGAGTGGAAAAGATTGAGCGCCCTGTAGTCTGCGGATTTATACACGAGTGAGACCTTGGGCCACTCAATCAAGGACATTCGGTGTTCTCGCTGCTGATTGGCTCATACTCCAGCCGAGTGGAGCCGCCGTTTTGACCTCGTGAACTTGCGGTGCGTCAGAATTTGGCTTTGAGAATCAAAATTTTGCAAAGAAAATCATTTTCTATATCAGAAGGGCCTATGAACAGGATCAGGTACCATTGCTTTTGCGACTGAGCGAATTTGAATCAAAAATATTCCAAAATTCCGGAGTTAGATGCAAGGAGAAATGTCTGACCACATAGTCTAGTCAGATCAGTCGAACATCCAATATTTTTAGTAAATGACTATGTATTTCCTCTGGAAAGAACCAGGAAGTTCCATTGACTTATCCAAATACTACTAGAGCCTCTTGAGAACTTCCTGTTAGTCATTAACCCTATATCAATCAAGAGATTTAGCGCTCTTATATCAAAGGAAGCTTTCCTGATACTTTCTTAGTACTAGAAACATAATTATGACCCAGATTCAAGTAGGAAAGTGTGTAATGGGTCGATTATCTTCATGATCAGCTATTAGTCGAACATAAGGTGAGTACCTGGTTATTAATGAAATTTGCTCACCGTGTATCGTGTCGAACAACTGATTCAACTGAAATCTATGTCCAAAATTGGAATATAAACGATGAGACAGGAGTTTCTAAATAAACAGTTTCTTAGTTATGAAGTCCTCAAATATACTCCATCACAGACTTCATTACAGACAAATTACATATTACATATTACACATCACTTCTCTGAATGATGAAATCACTGACAGACAATCCAGAATTGAAAGAAACAATGAAAGAGTCGAATTGGAACAGGAAAATTTTTAACTTATCCTGAAAAAAATCAGCTCAGCTTCAACAGCTCTGCGACATTTCAGAAAGAGGAATGTGAACGTTTCGTTTCCAGATATTTAGATCCAAAATCTTTTTACGTGGGTGCATTCGTGCAAGAAGATGGAATGGAGAGTGTTCATATACTTTCCTACTCTTCTTGTAAGAAGGTTTCATCAAAAATTATTCCTTATAAAGCAACTGAAATAGTAGCTTTCTCGGCCTGGTCAAACCAGACCTGGTATCCACTATTCCAGAGACTGCCTACTGAAGATCCTTCAATTTTTCAGATGAGTGATTGTTTTTGGGATTTCTTGCAGAGGGAAACATTAAATTTATTGCCGAACACTTTTGATGTTAGCAAGATTATACGGAGGGCTTTTGTGAAGCGAGGCTCTCCGGATTAGGTTCTTCCTGTCCTAAGGGCCTTCCTATGCAATAGCTCGACTCGACAGTACAGTCTTTGTTTGAAGATATGGTGGTGATACTGTATAATAAATAATTATGATCCATTCAAATATCGGTTGAATAGAACAGTTAAATATTCCTCAGAGATTCAAGAGACTGAATTATCTTCTTTCTCTCTCAATTAATACACATCAAATAATGGGAGGTGAATATTGAAGTAGAGCCACTGCAGGATGGCTCAAAAATCGAAAGTTTAAATCAAAGTCCACAACAAATCTTCGAAAAATGGTTTGGAGAGTGTCGCGAATGCATTATTCATATCCAAAACATCTAATATTATCAAGTAGTTTTCGGTATTATTCAATGTTATTACTGACATGGATTGCTGTATTGCGCAAAATTTATTCATGAATGATTGTTATACATTAGTATATTATGAATGAGCCTTTGTTATTTATCGCCCTAATTTCCACTGCGATATGAATTCCAAATAATGCAATGATTCATAATTCTGAATATCGAAGCGGGCAGAGATACCAGAGTTTTTGGTGTCTCGGGATGTTTTTTCACTAGTTCGTGTGATGATCATTAAGGACAAAAGCCTCAATGATTGAAATCGATCATCATCAAAGGTGAGTCGATCAATCCTTCAATTGAGCTGACTTGTACTCAAGAACAATTCTTACTTGAAGCCAGTGAAAGTTCATCAAGGAACATCATGAATATACTGACAATATGTTTGCCATCGTCACAACGAATGTCTATGGATGAACGATGGAATTGATTCGATTCTATTTCTCAAAGCTATAATGTTTCAATGCGATTATCTTGCATCTTCACCATGCGAATATCAATGAAATGCATCGAATGAGAATTATTTGAGCACTATGATGATTGCGTCTGCGATGATGCAGGAAGATATTATTCACCCTAATAGATGAGTTATGTTCAGACTGAAACTTTGGTAATCACTTGTTTTGAATTTGGTTCAAGGAAATGTAGAAAACTCACCATGGAAAAATACATAGCACAAAAAACTCAATTGATAACTCACCCTTACTCTGCAACCTCTCGCAGACAAAATAATTGGGCGTTGAACAGTCTCTGTCATTCCACATGAAGGTAGTGGCTAGTCGATGCGAGGCGTGCGGTAGGGCGAACATTCGCCTTGCTTCGACACAATCTTGCTCGCTGAGACCGTCATCATTTGGCTGATGGTTGTAATTGCCGTACTCAGGCCATCCTGGGAACCAATCTGAAATGGAAGGGGATGGGATGACGAATTGTTGTATAAGAAATAGGAGAATTCTAACATTAAAAAACGTTGTATTCATAATTAGTCGTCGTTATGTGATGTCATCTAGTGACTTCGGATCTAGAAGAGGATCATTGTTGCGGTGAATCACGTCAAATCTCTCTAATTTAATTTTCAGTATATTGTCTTCATATCAGTGCTTGAATTATACAGTGTCATTCATAAAGTCGGCATCATATGGGAAAAACTTTTATTAATGACTTATTTTGAAATTCGAGTTGGACGTTGAGTTTAGCTTCAAACAAGATGAAAAATGGCCCACTCAATCGGGGTCACGTGACTTTCGCTACATGTCAAAAGTGACATTTTTTCAAAATAATCGCAGAAAGTAGGCTTATTTGTTCTAATATCGAGAAAGATCACTTGAAAAAGTTGTTTCTATTTGAATTTCACATATTATGTGACTCGGATTTCATCTTTCTATTACATTTTTTAGATTTCGATATTTTTTCAAATTTTCGAATTTTCTGTTATATCAAAAAAATTGTAAATTCGATAAAACTACTTCATACCAGTAGCTTCATCATGCTACTTAATTTCAATTACTAATTATCACTAATTATCGACAAACATATGTTTTTCTTCAGAAAATGATAATCTCCGCTTCAAAATTCTGTAATGTTTGATGCATGTTTGAGTCAAGCATTTAGGAACGAAATTCATTTAAATTTATTTTTCCAGTACTGAAATGATCGGTTTGAATGAATTTCGTTTCTAAATGCTTGACGATATATCAACTTTGCATCAAACATAACAGAATTTCGAAGCGGGTATCATCATTTTCTGAAGAAAATCATATTTCTGTCCATAATCAGTGATAATAAGTAATCGAAAGTAACTAGCATGAAAAAGCTACTGGTATGAAATAGTTTCGTGGGATTAACAATTCTTCAAATATTACAGAAATTTCGAAAAATTTAAGAAAAAAATCAAAATCTAAAAGTTGCAATAGAAAGATCAAATTCGGGGAGCATGTGTAAAATTGAAATAGAAACAACTTTTTCAAGTAAACTTTTTCGATATTCGAACAAATAAGCCTAGTTTCAGCGATTACTTTGAAAAAATGACACTTTTTGACATGTAGCGAAAGTCACGTGACCCCGATTGAGTAGGCCGTTTCTCATTTTTTTCGAAGCAAAACTCGAATTCCAAAGAAAGTCATTAATAAAAGTTTTTCCCATATGATGCCGACTTTATGAATGACACTGTATATGAATTATTATATCAGTTTCTGACAGACCTGTGCTCGTTCAGATTCATGACCCCAATAATATCAATCGAAAGCGGAATTTTTACCGCCGAAATCCCCCTTTAACTGGCCTAACAGAAAACCGACGTTGTGAGATCTCGCTCGATTCAGAGGCAAACTAGCATTCGTTAACTTGACTTGTATACTGGCATAATGACAAACTCTGATAGAGGGTTAACATTTATTCAAGGAGATATCTCGACCAGCCACGCTGAAATGAAGATTCGCATCGTATACACACTACTTCTACTGAAGATTTGAGATTAACAAAATAGTGTAGCACATCTGGACAAGAAAAATCGAAGGTATTGGTCTATTTGAGAGGGAAGGAAAAGTTGTCACTCAATCGTTGTACAAAGATTCCAGAGGATTGCTTGGTGTAAACTTTCATGAGAGTGATTTTGTTAACGTTCATCCACTAGGCAAGTCGTGCAATTGTCACATGGAGAATAAGTGTAAAAAATTGAAATAGGTCTTGCTCACACCGACAAGAATTGAAAAGAAACATTCTGAGAAAACAATCCTTTATTGCCAAATAAAAGGGAATTCTTGAAAAATAATACGTAAGATGAAATGGACTCATTGTGACTAGAGCAATTCATGTGATTGTTGAATCAGAAGAAGATCTTCTTTTGGTAAACCAACCCAGCACTTCCTACCCCAACAGCTGAAAACAATTCAGAGTACTCATCGACATTGCAAGTTTCTACTTTCATGGATTTAGGCTCCACTGAAAACCAGGAAATCAAAAACTCATTCGGTTTATAAGACTCATTGTTAATTTTTTCTGTTTCATTCACTGTTCACATTATTCATCGTGAAGTATTGATCATTTTTTGTTCTTGTCATTGGGATCAGGCTGTGTATCTTTGGCGTAATGAAGAAAAAAATATTGGTGTTTTATGCACTTGAATGTCAAATCTCTTTCAAGCGGCTTTGTTCATTTGCCGGAATATATTTTCGATTGGGATGTTGATATTGTTGCTTCAGGAGAAACATGTTTGAACAAGCGTGATAATTTCGACTCCTAAGCGATAACTAGTTATGAATTTTTGCATGTCGACAGAATAGAGCCTGAGGGAGTTGTATACAGAAAAAAATGATAGTTTAATTGTTTGATTGCATACTTATCATTAGCTGCATCAACTAGTTAGAGGATACAGTGGTGATTTTTGTTTCTGATGGTGACATATTCCTCATTCTAGATGATCTAGACATTGATTCAATGAAGCAGGATCAGAAGAGTGAGCTGTTTGCAATTTTTTCCCATTCCTACAATTCATTACTGTTCATTGATTCACCTACTAGAGTAAATAATGGCGTGAGGCAAATCATTATCGACTTGATTATAGTGAACAATCCAGATTTCATCACATCTGCCGAAGTTATAGACAAATACTTCGTCTCAATCTTCGGAATGAAAATACCGTTATGGTGAATTTGTAAACCTTCGCCATTTTTTGAGTTGAATATCATCTTTTTCAATTCAAATCTATATAGTGAACCATAATTCAAATATAACATGAAACAGATGCTCAAACCCAAACAATCTCAACTTGGACCACTGGTGAAGCCCAAGGATCATCAGATGACCCGTTCATCACATCTTGTTTGATGATGTGGATGAACTTGTCTGGAATTATTGCTCTCTAGGCCTTTGGTCTCGAAACTCTATAATTAATCGATGTGGTATATCCTCTATCGATTTGGTGACTCAAGATGTTTTTCCTACTTGTTTTTCCATTGGTAGGTATATAAATTAACCTATGGATTCACTCGGTTGATTCCTTCTTCAGTCTGTTCCAAAATTCGTTCTTCTGAGAATAATTATCACTGGGTAATCATTCATTGAAGCAAACAGGAATATGATCGTTTGTTGACAGAAAAGTTTCACCAACTTGAATTGATCGTTCGAAATCCTCTTCAAGATTTTGAATTCTGTGATGACGGGTCTGCTTTCTGTTTCGAAGAATTCTGTATATAGGCTACTACTATATTGTCTTGCTTCGTTTTCGTAGCAGAACGTCCTCTGCTGCATATTTGTGGCGATCATGTGGTGATCGATGCAAATGAGGCGATGTGCACGGATTCTTGAACAATTCATAATTGCGAGCACTTGAAGAGTTCACCATTAGTATCTGATGCGAATTTCACGAAGTCCTCTTCACGAGGCTATGCGTGCGAATATCTCAAACAGCTCGTAGTCGCGAGCACTTGAAAACCTCGCCAAAAGCAATTGATGCGAATCTCCCAATGTACTCATCACAAAGCTATGTATGCGAATTTTTCAAACAGCTCATAATTGCGAGCACTTTCAGATCTCGCCACTGACGATTGATGTGTATATTTCGAAGTGCTCGCCTGAGGACATTGTATGAGAATTTTTGCGTAGAACATCTTTGAGACCTCGCTGAGCTCAGCCTAGGTTGCGGACATCTGGGGGAGATTTAGCGGTTTTGGAGACCTCTCAAAGAAGTTATAGAAGGCATAACAACTTCCTAGGAGGATATCTTCAAGTGAGTAGTAATGAGAACCTGTTTGAAGCTCATAAAACACAATTTACCCAGATAGCACAAATACCTTCTGAGGCCCTTTTGAGGCGTTCACAATTTTGTCCTCAGGACGTCGAGGGCGAGCTTGAAGACGTCCCTAGCTCGTCCTCCTGTTACCGTTCTCTACATCCTAATAACGTCTCAGAACATCCCTATAAGATCCTCTGGGACATTTTCAGGGCATTATGGGAACATATTTTGGTAGTATTAAAAAATGTCTAGGGATAGGTTGATAAAAATGAAATTTTATTGAAGAAATATTCATATCATAATATTTGCGAAATTTTCCTGGAATGATAATATGTTCAAATAAAACTCACATCCTATTATTTATAACTTATTGGTGAAGATTTTCGAGTTTCGTTCTGAAGAAAATGTATCTCAACTTCTTGTTGAGCACTACTAGAAGTTATTGCCCATTGGTAATATTTCTCTATGTTGCTTTTGACTTCTCAACTCTGGATATGCTTCCTAATGCTGAATCTACTAAAAGTTGAAGCCTTTATACAATATTTTATAGATAATATCAAGTATGTGTTTTCCATAACCTTCTGAAACAAACAATGATTCGATATCTCATATCCATGTAATATATATGATTTGATCCATCTACCTTTGTTCCTTTTTGCCTCAGAGAAAAATCATCATCAACATAATAATACATTATAATGATTTTTGTTTTGTTCTATTTGTTCTAATTCTGTTGTAAGTTCTCTTCTTGTTATGTTGTTATCATTTGTGATTTCTGAACCCTGGACATACTATCATACAATCTTTTATAGATTAGGAAGGAGCCAGAATATCTTTGATTTGAACATGTCTGCTCTGATGATAGCATCAAAAGTTTGTGTTCTCAAAAACATTCTGAAATAAATTATGTATTAATATTTCATGTCCAGTACCTACCTATATACTATCAATTTTTTTATTCAGATACCAACCTTCATTGAATCTACTGAGAGTTCAAGCCTGCATACAATCTTTCATAGATTCCGAAGGAGCACAAATTTCTTGGAATGAAACATCTCTGCACTGATAATATGATATCAAGTTTGTGTTCTCTATAACTTCCTGAAACAAATAATGTATTGATATTTTATGTCCAGTAGGAATACCTACTATCAATATGATTTGATTCC